TAAATTCTCAAAAGTATAAGCACAAAGTTGAATGCAGCATTGCAAAAGATCCTTACTCGTGCGTAAAGCCTATTATTCCAGGTGGGCAGTGAATTTATTTAAGAAATATTTTATTTTTTCTTAAATGACTTACCCCTTTTGCAGGCAAACATAAACTTCTCTTCCGATCTAAAAAAGATTTTAAACTTAACTATGATTTTTCTTTTCTAACAGGACTGCATAGAAAAATATTTACAATTTCATATTAAAATGCCACGTCACGCTCTATTTTGACCAACTTAGCTGGACAGCCAATAGGTACAGATTAAAAGCGAGATAGCTCAATTACTTTAAAGCATAACTTGCCTCTATTCTTAAGTTAATTCACTGCAAAGTTTAAAGCCATGTATGGGACAGACTATAACTCTTCTTTTTTATGGATTTGCACTCTGAGTTGAGTTGCCTTATATAGTTCTGCTAAATATTGATTACAAGGTTTCACATACGCCTTCATATGAAAATATATTCCTCACTAGCTTTCAAGATGCCTAAAAATGGGTCGCATCAAGAGAATAACATTTTTGCCATCACTTTTCTTTCTATTTCGATGACCATGCTTTTAGGTTCACTTCACGGTGATCATCAAGAGTGATCCAACTAGTGATCAACTTCCTCCCGGCTCAAGTGGATTCTTCCAAAGTGGCCCTGGAAGAAGTTCTGGTTATTATTTGGTCAGCGGAGACTCCGAAATTAATGGTGGTCCTGGCTCTTCCGGTGGGAGACCATTCTCTATACCTGGCTCCAAAAATCCAGGAGGAGGTCAGGCGGAGCGTTATGGGGCCTTGGCAACTGGGCCTTTGGCTATCGCAGGAAGCTCGGTTGGAAGCTCGGGTGGAAGTGACTATTCATTAGAAGAGGGCGTTTCCGTTACTCGTCGTCAGACAACAGTTATTATTGTTATGGCAGGTGTGGCCGGTGTTTTTTGCCTGGCGCTGGTCTGTGTGATTATTGCGCTTAAACGATGTCCCCCAATTGATTCGCACTCATCCGATCCCGGAAACAGTATAGCAGTAAAAGGCATGTACACTTGATTTTGATTTTTTTCCAAAGGTCACTTCCATTAACCATATGCTGCAATATTTATATTTTTAAGAACGGTTTTGTTAACTGGAGTTTAGCTAAGCACATTTGGCTTAACCATTTATCCCTTTAAAATATGTAGATGAAGTTGACGACAAAACTAATTCAAAAAATATCATATCAAGCCCAAAGCATTTAAGACATTTGGGCTGTATTTTATGTACAGATAAAATATTGAATGTCAGATCGCGGGTCCTGTTTATTAAGCTAATTTCCTACGGTAGATATATTTGGGTACTTGCAAACGAACTATACCTTAATTATTAGAATTTACATGGGATTATATTAGTAAATGAGTTGGTATTAGCAGCAGTAGTAGGTGTGATGGCTCTACTTTTTTACTTTTCTATAGTGTTTTTGCCATTGATGTTATGGTTCGTTGACTTCTTATGTAAGAATTGATTATCTAACCTACAAATAAAGAAATTATATCGAAGGTATTAAGGCCAAGATGGTGTGGCCGTTATAATGGTTATGGTATCCTTTCTTTGTATATACGTTGTTTGACTTTATCTTCCCAACTTATTCGTATTATCATAGCGACCTACAGGAGCGCATCTTGTCCGGAGTACATAGTATGCATGATTATTTTCAGAGTCGGACCGTGGACTTGGTCCATTCTCAAACGTTTCGCGGGCATCATCCGTCACCCTAACCAGTCTTCGCACCACACCACAACTCGTCAAAAGAGATTAATCAAGTCCATTCTTTGGCTGATTGTCTGCTGAACATAAGAGACTTGATTTGTCTCTTGACGAGTTTTGGTGTGGTGTGGTGCTAAAACTGGCTAGGGTCACTGACGATGCCGATTACGTTGCCGGCGAACGTCTTGGAATGGACCTAGTCCACAGTCCGACTCTAGAAATTGTCATGGCTACAATGGCCTCCGGACAAGACGCGTTCCTCTAGGTCGCCTTAACAATATGACCAAGAAGAGAGGGCAAGGTCAAACAACTTCTAAAGTGATCTCTTGTTAGCATGCCGATGAGATTACTTACTTTTGTATAATTTAAGTACATTGCAAACTCGCCTAACAACTGAACATTAAGAAAAGGCTACAAGAATTATGTCAAGAAATCTCTATGAGAGTGAAAATTAAAAATTTAAGGCGCACTTCTGAGCCGACTAAGCATTTGGAATAAATGAGCCAGATTGCCTTGAATGCAATCTGCTCTCAAGGCAACCAAGCTTCATTTGGCTATGCAGGTGCCGATAGTTAATCCATTCGTGATTAACTTGAAAGAAGGTTCAATTCGAACTATCAATTTCCATCTACATGCATCATCATTTTAGATGGAATGTGGCCTCGTAAACGAATTTATTTCACCAGCATTATCAAATAAAATATCAAAGTCATGTCTTCGGTTTTTTTCACCAGGCTAATGTGAGCTGTTAATGTGGGAGGTGACAGTAAATAAAGGATCAATTACGAATAGGCAAGGTCATCAATATTAAATGTATTCAAGACACTGGCCATCGAATTAGTTCAGCTCATTTAGTGAAAAATAAAATATATTCGGGAAGTTAAAATCTTTAAATCTTATTTTGCGTTCGAAACTACGTTTCTTTAGTTATCTGAGGCAAGCTAAATATGAAATAATCACTACGAAGAAAGAAATTTAACCATAAATAAATAAGAGCCTAAGGCCGATTTTTCTGGCTAGTTATTTATACTTTGGAGTTTAACTTGCCGAGGCCCCTTCAGCCTAAAAATTGTCATTTCAGACGAAATATTACAAATGAAGTTTAGTATTTATCTACATAAAAAATGTAGAAGGTGCAATGTTATATATATTTTAAAGATAAAGCGACCAATTAAACAATGAAAATTGCCCTTGACGATTCAGCCAAACTTTTTACTTCGACTACTCTGAATGCAGGTTATCTCGGACTTTTCCCTCGGTCGAATTGAAGACGAGAGATGAGTAAAATCACTGTTTTCTGAAGACCTGGGTTTTGTCTAGGCACCAAAAGTAGCATTTTATTGCTTTCTCCTCTTCTTCTATATATGCTTGATAAGTTTTTGTACATTGCCAACCGACAATTATCAACCTTACAGGCGAAGCTGCTCATAAAGGCCGGAATCACACTGCCGTATTGAATGACCTTGGAGCGAACAATGCTCCTAAGCTGCCTGGAACTATGGCTACAAAAGCAGAGGTCAGTTTATCTCAGGATATTCATTATTACTAGCTAACAATTTTATATCTCGAGAAAGTTCCGAGCAAGTAAATCGCGTTTTGGCATAGTGCCAAGGTAATTCATATAAAACTGAAAATATAAGTTAATATATTTTGCTTTGCACATAAAATATTAAGTTTGATAATAGTCCGGAAAAGCGTATTGAAAGGTGCTCAAGCCAGCTTCTAAGAAATTTGTGTAACTAGACATTGAATGAATTTTGTACAGTTCACAAAATTTTGATATTGAACGTAGACTTAAACAGTTTACTTAAACAACTGCTTTACAGGCTAAATAGCATACATATTAACAAATTTACTAGATTATCATTGATACAATCTGAGTGGTCCATGCTTTTTACATAGAAGCTTTGTGTTGGTAGGCTCCAATCTAATGAATACAGAACCATAAAGTAATCTGGCCAAGGGCTGCCATCTTTATAGCAATATAATAGTATAATTGCTAGTTTTCCTCGTACGCTTTACATAATTGTTGGCTAGTTTAGCTTGCAAGCTGATGAATCTTCCCAGATATTATTACCTACGCAGGATTGATAGGTAGTTATTTGTTCAATGGCACTTTTAAATAAAAATTAAAATAAACTTATGAAATGCTTTTGGCATGTTATTCGAAAATGTCATGGCAACGATCGTGAAAGTCAGTCAAAGACAGAGCCATGTATGATATTTTACCGCCAGAAAAGAAATATCACTGCCTTGGGTCGCATCTATCCATCTTATTCATCTAAAGTACGTACGAATCTGGGTATTAACTTCATAGTGTATTTCACTGAATAATGGATATGAGAGGCACTAGATGCATATGGGATGCAAAATTATTATAACAGAGAATGGACCACATAAGGACTTACTCCCAAAATGCTATGCTAATGTGAAAATCTAACTTACTACCTGAGCCCACATGGTGATGTATTTTAAAATTAGCTTTTTCTTATAGTCATTTGAAAGCATGCCTTGGACCACATTTGGTCTTGATCACATTAACAGGAAATTTTTCAATTTGCTTCATATGCGCAATAGTTTTACAGCTATTTAGGAAATGTTCAGACTTGGCCTTGAATGTGATAATGGATAAACTGGCCCACGAAATAATGTGAGGGATTCTTAGTTCGGAAGACACTTGACTATCATTAGAACATCTTACTATCGGTGAGGGAGAGTGTACTAGGAAAAGTTATGATGAAAGGAAAGGTGCAATGGTGGCCGAAGTCATCCGGTAGGAAAAGCATCAAAAAACGCTGGATTTCCTATTCCTTCTTGGAAGTGCTCTTTTCAATATTGTAGCTTCTAATAGTTTATTCAAATTTGCTATATATTCTGGTTTCGATAATGCTTTGGGGGGCTCCAACACGCTAATAAGTCTGTATTGAAGGCCTTAGAGCGATTTTATTATCAATCATTATCCTTTTCAATGCCTTAAGTTGAGACGACCATAAGGAATGTAAAGCAAACCTAAAGTCTCCATGTGATTCGTAGTTA